AAAAAAAAAAAAAAAACAAAAACCAACAAATTCGTTTCTTTACCTACAACTATCAATATTTTCATCTCAAAATAAAAGCTAAAAAAAAAAAGACCCTATAATTTCATAATCCATCACCGAACAACAAAGTTAACTAATCAACATGAATATACCTTCAAAGGTCTTTGATTCCACTAATACTTCTGATTTATTGTCACGAACAACAACCTTTTTTTTCCGTTGCAAGAATTTGTTGATATGATAATCCTTGTTTTGGTACGCAAGAATCTGTTGTCGACGATTCTCATGTTTTCTAATTTTGAATTCGTGATTTCCTGAATTATAGGAAATCAAGATCGCCATGTTTTTTTTTAACTTATCTGTTTAAGGTGTTTAGTTTACCTTTTTCTTTGTGTCAATCTCGCCTTCTTCTGTAGATGACTTGCAATATATGGAGAGAGAAAACCATATCTGATGATTTCTACAATCTCGTAATTATGAAAAAAAATCAATACTTAATCCTCTTTTGATTATGTTTCCTACTATTTGTATTTATGTAAATATTTCTAATCTAAGGGTTATGTATGTATTTTTCCCTATTTTTTCCCTAATTTTTATTAGCATTATTACCAACTCTACCGAGTAATTATAAATGTCTAATATCATTTACCAAAATATATATATATATGTATGTTTCTTAATTTATGTTATTGAATGCTCTCTCTCCCATCCTTATTAATTTATTTTAATCAACAAAATTATCCCTAAAAAATGTTGTCTCTTTCTCTTTGACTGGACGGCGGGCGACGGTTGTAGGAGCGGACGGCGGACTCCAGAACGTTGTCGAAAAGGTCATCGGAGAGGCTGGTGGAGGGGTCGGGGTCGAGGTATCTGATCCGGTAGAAGTCGGACTTGAGTCGGTCCCAACCGACAGTTTTCTCGTTATTCTTGCAGCTAACAAGTTTGGCGGATGCAGGAGAAGGGAGGAGGGATGGTGGCGATGTTTGGTAGAAATTAACAGGGACAGGGTAAATAAATGTTACGTAAATAAAAAACGCAACATATATTTAAAATATATTAATTATAAAAGAAACATATGCTGAAATTACTCTGATGTTTGTCTTGCACAAAACTTTGACGCTCGTTGTTAAAAGCCTAGATGTGATGTAAACCCTTGTAGTTGATATTGGATAGACAATGTTTTTAGTATCTTGATTCGTGAGACGATATTTTATGTCATTTTAAGTACTAATTTAAAAGGCAATGTTGTATTGGATTTGCACCGGACAATGTTTAAGTATAATTTAAGATTATGCATGAAGACATTTTTTTCTTAATGAAACCAAACTTCATTACATTATAGTAACTGCAAAACGAGTAACCGCAAACAACTATCAATAATGATGAAACCTAAAGGCTTGATTGTTTATAAAATAACTTGTTCAAATTGAATCATTTTGGCTAATTGTAGTTAATTTTGAAAAAAGTGGTATGATTAGTTGTAGTGGAATTTTAAAAATGTATTAAAATAATATTTAAAGTAAAATAATTAAAATTGATTTGATGTAAACGTAAGAGATAAATGATTGGAAATGATAGGTAGTTAAAATTATGTGAGTGGATGAATAGTGAATTAAAGTTGATGTGATGTGTAAGAATGATTGGTTTGTATTATTTAATTATATAAATAATATTAAAGATGGTGGGGTTGAGTTAAATTTGAGTTAGATTTTAAGTTGAAATAAAAGTGAGTAAATTATCTTGTAAACAATCGCCCCCTAACTCTTCACATCACATTACAGTAATTGCAAACAACTACCATACATGTCATGTAATTTCTACATATACATTTATCTAAATCTAATAAAAAAACAAAACGTAAAAATCAACAACAATCCAAAATTAACTAGTCTTGAAATATCCGTAAATATACTGAATATTGTGGCACTTTTTAAGAGTATTAATAATTATGTTTCCATTTTCATTTCCTATTGTAAAACTGGTTTACAAGGTATTTTTTTTTTCTAATTTTCTTTTTCCTCATTTTTTTAATTTAACAAATTTACTAAAACTTAATAAATTTTTATTTATTAATAATTTTTTATATATAATATGTCAAATTAATCATGTCTTGATTAGCTTCGATTTTACATCTATATTATACATACAAATTAAATAAATAATTTATTTATTTTTATAATTTAAATTAAATTACCTATTAATATTAGTTAAAAAACAAATTTATTTAAACTAAATTAACTACAAAGTAGTTATCTGATATAAGATGATAAGTCGTGTAAGTAACAGTGTCATAATAAATATAACCAATAATATATTTTTATAAAAAATTATTTAAGAAAATAGTACAATACACGTGTATTACACGGATGCTCGTTAAGAAATATTTAAAATTAAAATCTAAAATTTAAATTTTCAAATATTATTTATAAAAAATATATTTTATTTATATTTACAATAACACTCGTCACTTATACGGTGTAATACAAACTAATACAAACTTATACGTCACTTATAAACCACATTTTGAATAGGAAATAATATAACATAATTAATGCTCTTAAAAATAATTATAAATATCTCGTATATATATAGATATTCCAAGCTTAATTATTTTTTGGATTGAAATAAATTATTATTTTCCAAATAATAAACCATGAAAATTTGTCACGTATGACTCCGAAGCGTGCGATGCGAGTTTGCCATTTAAGCTGGTCGAATGAGTCATATAGGGGAGGGGATGTGACCTCTCAACTAGGGAGGGCTGCAAAGAGTTTGCCACTTAAGCTGGTCGAATGAGTCATATAGGGGAGGGGATGTGACCTCTCAACTAGGGCTGCAAACGAGCCGAGCCGAGTCGAGCATTGGTCTTATCGAGCAGGATTGAGTTTTTTTTTTTTTTTTTTTT